CTAGGATCTGGCCCCTGACATTTGTAGGTAGGATGCTAGTTGTCTTCGTGATACTTGCATGGAAAACCAGGATATGGCCATTGGCACTAGTGTGTAAGACCGGGATTCAACCCTTGCCATTGCAAGGAAAGACCACGATTGGCCCATGGTAGAAAGTGACTGTAAAACTATGTTTTGGCCCATAGCATTCATTATCTTATGTATGATATGTGGTATTTTGGGGGACTCACTAAGCCTTGTGCTTAAAGTTTCATGTTTAGATGTTTTCAGTGTTTCTTATATTAAAGAAATAGTGTGGCTCGATTGCATCACATCCATTGGAGATGTCCGCACATAATAACTTCTTGACGATACTCTGATAAATGTTTTGAATAAATGGTTTTATATGGATCTTTAAAGTTGTAATTTGAATAAATATTTTTATAAATCAAAATTTTCGGTTTGAAATTTGGGACATTACAGTTTTACCAATTTAGACGTTAGTAATTGAGTTTAGAAGTTTCTAACTTTAAAATCAGAAACCTCCTCCCTCCTTTAGTATTATTTTCTTTAATTTAACTAATATCAAAATTATAAATTTGAACATTCTTGTTCTCCGAGAGTTCGATACATTTATTTACCATCACTAAACTTTTAGACGATTGGGTTCACTACATGTGTGTGTGATAGTTGAGTTGTGATAGATTAGGATTAATAACACTTGATAAAATTTTAGTGTAAAAAACACATCATCAGTCCATTTATCACATATATGAGTTCCAATGCTCTCTTTAAGGCAATTTTAAAGTTTTAAAGCTTAGAATTTAAAGCAAATCAAAAGGGGATGCAAGGGAAGAAAATAATCAAACCATCTAAGTGAATCAAGGTGCATTCTTTCACCTCTAGTTAAGCTTCAATGTTCAACAATGGTGGAGGTCGAAGAAATTTACTATAACTTTTTCCAAGTGCTTTGAATTTCCAAGTCTGATATTGTTATAAGTATCATGATCATGATTCTAAGCTTATTTTGATAAATATATGGTTGAATTCTTAAATTTGAAGAAGATGAACTTAAACCCTGATTGGGTAAGATGTTAGATAAGTAAAATTATGTCTTCATGAATCAAGACATATCTATGAGATACTCGTAAAGCATAATTGATTTTGTTCACAGAAGTTTGGAATGAGAAATTCATATGATCAAGTGTATGATCATTTTATATATGAGTTGGAATTAATCTCTTTATGGATTAAGACATGTTGTTAAGAGCTTAATGTTCTATTTGAATAAGCTTTGGCAAGCATATTAATTAAAGTGCACCAAGTGAAGGATAAAAGTCAAAGTAATAGTCAGTCTTCACTAACTAAACAAGGTGAGTTTTATGAAGCTTTTTAACTTGGAGTACACAACTTAATAAATTAAGAACTTTTTTTTAAAGATACTATTTATAAAGTTAAGTATTATACATGTTTATGTTTATATGATTTTGAAATAAATAAGTCTATGTTATAAATTTTGGTAAATGACTCGTGTTATACATGGTTGATTTGAAATTACTTAATATTGTTATATGATTAAATTGTAAAGCATGGCATTGTATGTGATTGAATCTTGGAAAGAAAAATGTGATCATGCATCATTGTGTGAACTCCATAGTAATGTAAAAGAAATGTAAAATTCGGCTAGCCTATGATGTCCCACAAGGAGACTAATGAGATTCTGTTGGGAGAGTATCTTTCATCGTGAAACATGATTCTTTGAACGATGAGGCCATAATATGATGATTTCTTTTCATGAAGTAGTCAACAACTACACTCGCACAAGGTGACTTTTTGGTCATTATCGACTAAGGATATAAAATGAAAATTAAAATGACCAGCGAAACTGAACGGAACCCGTAAGTCTGCATTGTGTGAAAACATGCATTGCATAATTAGAAATCATTTTAAAGCTATTGAATTTTTTTGGGGCAAATGACATAATAGTCCTTAAGTTTTCACAAAAAAATGTTGGTCTTACCATTGAACGTGTTTTAGATCCAATAAAGTCGGGTGTTTTGTGTAATTTGTTCATTTATACATTTTTAGTCGGTTTTCAGGTATAAAACCCTTGAGTTTTCAAAATTGTTCGTATTTACGCTTAAATTTTTAAAATTGTTCGGATTTACCAAATGTTTGAAATGTTTTAGGTCTTAACCTATATGACTCGCGAGACAATTTGTCTTATGTATGTGTTTGTTTTTAATGTATTGTATCTCACGATCAGATACAAAAAACTAGAAACCGAAAAGATTAGGAGCGAGCTTAAGAGACCGGACATAGTTTATAAATCCACGGTTTTACAATGATTTTTGCCTACATCATTTGTAACATCCCATATATGTCTTTTGGAAACAATTAAAAATGTTTTGTGTGTGTTTTCGTTGGGACCATATTTTGATAGATGTGCATAATGCCATAAAATATTATAAAATGATAGTGCAAATTAAAACGTCGGCTGTTACAAGCAATTTGTTATTTTATATGGATTTAACATTTAAAAAAAAAGTTTTCAACTTTAAAAATCAAACCCCAACAAAATCATAGTAAAAAATTACTTTTGGACTTCATTAAAATAATATAAACAACATTTACAGTTTTATAAAAACATCGGTACTACATGGATAAACAAAATTGATTCAGAATTTATAGGTTCATATCAAATTTTGCATGTACGTACGGTTTGGTTTTATATTATTAGTTAAAAGTATTAAATAAAATTGTTTATTCAAAAAATGGGTAGTCCTAACTCCTGTTCAAATCTAAGCCATCAACACTAGAAAAGGACTAGGTCACTTTTATGAACTGCGAGAGTGGAAACAGAAAAGTCAATGGTTCAATTGTCTTTTGATAGTATATTAGAAAATATTATCAGATTAAAATAAAAGTTTATTTAAATAAGTAAAATATTATCTCCTACTTACATTATAAAATTCTACGTGGTTATTATAAAGTATTTGCCAAAAACTTCATATCAGTAAAAGTATAAATATATATTTATATAATTAACAACACAGTTTATATCTTATAGATTTATTTTTTGCTAGAATTTAATGGTGTTTTCGTATATCATTTTCATTCCCTATTTTTAGTGGTTAGACTTGACGTTTAATATAATATGTATTTTTTATACAATTTAATTGTTTATTTATTAGTATTCAATTTGAACCTACCCATTATTTTATTTATAAAGTTTTGTACTTTATCTATTATCCATTATTATTAATTATTGTTAATCTATTATTAATAATACAAAATTACAATACAATATCTTGATTATAAAATCATACATACACGCATGCATGTATTAAAAACATTTGCTTTCTAAAAATCCAATAATTGAAACAAAAAATAAAATAAAAGTTTTACAAGCTATACTTCATGTTCCTACATCATTTATAAAGTCTAATAAGTTAAACAAATATAAAAGAAAATTTTCATGATAATCCTTATAAAAGCCAAGTGGGAACACAGCATTTATTTTGTCATTTATATGTCTGTGATAAAATATCTTTTAACTTATATTAGGAGATAGATGTTTTTTTTTTTTTGTTACATGTTAAACTCAATAATTTAGCTTATTAGGTTTATAGAATTCAAACATACCTATATTTTTAGAGAATGCAACATTCTCACAAAAGAAGTAAACTAAGGTGTTGTTTGTTTTTTGTCTGCAGATCTGCGTGATCACTTCTGTCTGCGCCGTGCAGACCACGCGCAAACATATGCTCTCGCAGACTGTTTGTTTTTTGAAAATGCGCAGATCTAAAAACGTCTGCGCGAGGTCTTCTTAGCGCAGACATGGACCAATGTCTTCTAACGTCTTCACAAGTTCAATAAACCTAAACTAAAACTTAAAAAAAAATACTTATTTTTTTTTTCTTTCGCCGCCTCCCACATCTATTATGTTGAAAGAAAACACCTTTTAGATTTCTTGCTTATAAGTGATTATAATTTTTTTTTTATGCTTATTTAATTATTAATGTATATATCTTTTATTAATTTTTTCTCAATAATATTAAAAGAAAAAAATACAACATAAAAACTATATTTCTACTTTTATGATTGCGACCAAATTTTTTTAAAAAAAAAAGTGATATGCCTATTGAGACCAAAAAACTGAGTCATATTAAAGTTTTTATAAAAGCAATGCATTTCGATTCTAATATAAATTATATAAGTCATTAATAATTTTTGTATATTAATAATTTCTATTCTAATAAGAATTGTCTAATATATTACTAATTTTCGTAGTTCATAATTTTATAAGGAAAAAAAGACTCGGTGATGAGCATTTCGCACGATACGATGAACCCAATGTCTCGTTTCAAAATAATAATATGGTCGTTGATGCACAATATATATTGAATTGTTTTAAATGTTATTGTTATTGTAAAACCAAACTTTTTTATTGTAAAACTAATTTAATTGCATAAATTTTATTTTCAGTGTTGTATAATTATTATTATTAAAATTTTGGTGTTGAAAAATCATTTTATTTAAAGTTCTGTTTATTTCAGCAGTCTGCAGACGTTAAAAAACAAACAGTCTTCTTATTGCAGACTGAAGACGTTTGGTCCATCTCTTCTGCTGCAGAGGCTTGCAGATGTGGCCCGCAAACTGCAGACATTTTGACTTCAGAAAAACAAACAACACCTAAGAGTGTGTTCGTATGTAGTTTTTGATAACCTTTAATTTTAGCTTTTAGAAAAAACTCAAAAAAATAAAATTTTCTTTTAGCATGTTTCTAGTTTTTAGTTAAACAAAAAGTTTAAATCCAAAAATCATTTCAGGTAACATTTAATAAAAAAAACCCTTTTATAATTTTATAAAATTGACTTAATTATCATTTTCTAAAATCAATGATATTTTTTAGATAAGTTTTTTTATATAAATATTATATGTTTTAAAAACTTTAAGTATTTTTGTCAAACCTTTATATACGCTATAGTTTTTAGATGTTAGCTACCAAATATTTTTACCAAACACCCTCTATTCAAATCAAATTTTTTTACATACAATTTTATTTGATAGTTTAATGATTTTTTTTTCTTTTGAATCTTTAACATCAAAGTACAAACACATTTTCACAAAATCCATTGAAATTAATAATTATTTTATAATAATTTGGTTGAGAAGAAAGTACATGTTTAATTCGGTTATAAATAAGCGCACACAGGACATGCTTAGATAAGGAAGTGACTAACTGTTCCATTTTTCACTCGCCCCCTTCCGACCATTTTCACCGGAAAATTCTCTATTTACAGAGACATGTTTGCAGAAGAAAATGGCTTACATGGAGACCCAAGGATAAAGGCCATTTCAGATGCCATAAGAGTCGTTCCTCACTTCCCTAAACCAGGTATTTTGCCTTGTTTTTTCACTCAGGCTTTTCGTCGAACAGGTTGTGGTCTAATTCGTCAACTCCTTCTTTTCTTCAGGGATAATGTTTCAAGATATCACAACGCTGCTGTTAGATCAAAAGGCGTTCAAATACACCATTGATATCTTTGTCGATCGTTACAGAGATAAGAAAATTTCAGTTGTTGCTGGTATTACTTCTGTTCACTCCTTCTCTTATAAGCTTTCATGCATAGATTCTCTGTTAAACATGTGCTTCTTCCTTGTTTGGTTTCTCTGCAAAATTTAGGGAAAGGAATATGATACTCCACCAGTTTATCTTATTCTATTTGCATGAGTAGATCAGTGTGTCAGTTTGTGAGTATTTTATTTTATGATTTTTGAATTCTTTTTTGATGATTTGGTTTCTGCAACGACTATTATCCCAAAACATTTTTCCTTTCGATAAAATGTTCTGTGAAAGAGGGAAAATACATGCTCTGATTGCTGAAATTAGGGTTCTTAACATTTAGGAATTTTGTGGACCAATTTTGTTGTTTCTCAGGTCGATATCTTACAAGATGTTCATCTTTTCAAGAACACTGTTAAATCCAACCTTGTGGCAACGATTTAACCTTTTCTGGATAATAAATAAAATAAAAATAATAGAATATTTCATGTTTGATCTTTGACCTTGTGGTCAAATCAATTAAATCAATTAAAACTTATCCAATCTGCCCCAAGATCCTAACTTTTTTTTCCCCTTGTGTATTTTTTGGTTTAAAGATTATTACAAAGAATGTAAATTTTTGTTATTTGAGGGTTTAAATTTTACAGGGGGTCTATTATGTAAAATTTTCTTTTTCTCAACAATAAAATTTAACCTATTTTGGCTTGATATTGTAGAGACAAAATATGATTAACATTATATAAAGTACATTTTGTAGCTCTTTTTATTATCTATTGTTCCTATTCATTTCCCCCCCTTAGATTTTTTAAGAATGAATGATGTAATATGTGGACCCCATAACATATCACATGGATTGTTCTTATCTAATCTGAAATTAACATATCAATATTAAATTCTGTCATTAAGCGTTGATTAAATATTAATGACATTTTTATAAAAAAGTGACAACTAACCTTGTTAGTTAGCTAGATTTTTTAGAGACAAAACTTAGCAATATCAATTACATCAATCACGACTAATCTATTAATTCATTATTGATTGATGACAAAACATATTTGTAAAGTATAATCTCGTCTGAATTTATTAAGTTATGGCCTCACAAATGAAAGCTCTGTTTATATATATTTACTCTTTGATACAATCAATTTTTATATGGTTTTTATTTGCAACTATTATTTTGAATAGCGATTAAAGAAAATTCTATAATATAATAATAATAATAATATATAGGAGTGGAAGCTAGAGGATTTATATTTGGCCCTCCAATTGCATTGGCTATTGGTGCTAAATTCGTTCCATTACGCAAACCAAAAAAATTGCCAGGTATGCATTAAATCTTTTAGATTTTTTTTTTCAATATTATAACTTGACACCAATAATTCATCTATTATTTTCTTATACAAGATCGGTTTCTTATATATATATTATTATAAAGTTGTTAACTTTAGGGAAAATCTTGCCTTTTGCCCCTTGGTTCAAGGGTGATATTTTTGCCAAAAATGTATGGAAATTTGTGGTCCCCATAATTTAACTTTTTCCCTTTTCTATAAAACTAAAAATTATTTTTTTTGACAAATCATTTTCAATAAATCAATATTGATCTCATTTCGAAGAAGACATCTATTTTAATTTTAAATGAGTATTTCCTTACAAATAATTTTATATGTATTTGATTATAAATTATAATAAAAAATTATAAATCGTACCTCCTAAATTTAAAACAATCTTATATGTAAACCTAGTACTCTAGTATAAGTGGGACCCATTTTTTTTTTTTTAATGAAACGGAATCTATGTACCTGATTTACATCTGTCAGATATAATCTAACCCGCATTGAATTTCAGGTGAAGTTATATCTGAAGCATATGTGCTCGAGTACGGTACGGATTGTCTAGAGATGCATGTCGGGGCGGTGCAGCCAGGGGAAAGCGTGTTGATTGTAGACGATCTGGTGGCCACAGGTGGGACCCTCTCGGCAGCCATAAGGCTTTTAGGTATACATTTTTTATATTCAAAATAGCATCTTACTTTTACTTTATCACAATAATAAAACACATTTTCAACATGTTTTTTTTTCTAGAACGTGTTGGAGCCGAGGTTGTTGAATGTGCATGTGTAATTGGATTACCACAAGTGAAGGTAATAAAATTTATTTTTTATATTCTTTTGTTCCACTTGAATTTAAAGTTATGTGCCAACAGGGTAATTGGAGGCTAAATGGCGTACCAATGTATGTTCTCGTGGAGCCTCGTCTAACCGACTTGGTACTTTTTTTTTTTTTAATTTAATAATGACCAAATTACACTTGAGTGTTTTTTTTTTTTTAAATGCTTGAATGTTATTTAAACAGGAATGTAGCTTGTGAGAGATGTTGAAGAAAATATTATTGGGAAAGCTTTTGGGGTTTTGGAGTAGTGGGGATTTGTTGGGGAGTCTTGAGGGCTTAAAACATGACTGGAGCTTTTCAGAAGAATTGGTTTTGTGGGGAGATGGTGGCATTGGTGTAATTGTTAGGGTTTTTTTTTTGGGGGGTTATTAGGGATTTTACCCGTTGGAAGATTAGCTTTATGGGTGCATTTTGTAGGTGGATACATTACTTTAATTGGATTCAGAAGTTGGATTATGAATATATGGTTTAGTGATTTCTTCATGAATCATCATTGGTTTTAATTCAATTCACAACTTTTTCTTCCATCATAAAAAATAAATACCACAAAAGACTAATAATGATTCATGCATTTTACCTCGTAATCAAACCTCGTGAGTATAAATCGCTTCGCAAATTTTGTTGTACTATTGTTTTAACTACTAACAATAATTGCGCACACATGGGGAATGATACTGCGATTGCTACCTTGTGGGAAAAATTAACCTTAAGTTGCACGTTGGTGTGTTGGCCCCATTTTTTACCCAATAATCTATGGACTTTAAATACTCATTGAAATAATCTTTGAAAGGCTGTAAATCTTCCACGATTTTCTCGTTACGACCTATTGAAAACATGCTATTATTAATATTCCAAATTCATGTGTTCCAATCCATTGCACCGGTCGCCCAATGACTATTGTTGTAGTTAATGAGAAGTAAAACATGTATAATAATATGAACATTATATTAAAAGATTCTAAATTACAAATAATTTCAGGTTTATATAAAAAAAAAAGTACTTGCCAAATCAATATTACCCTAGACGTGGACCCATTACCAATTAGGATTTATGTATCATAGCGATAGAAAGACATTAAAACAAATGAGAATAATCGTCCGGAGTCTCGTATCTAATAGTAAAATATTCCACAAATCAATATATTGGTGATAAAGGGGTAAATTTTAAGGAGCCATTTACTCAATTGTTTTTGTCTAATTGGTGCAATTGCATCCAAAATCTGATCTGAGAGATATGTAACTCTTTTATTATGGTCTCGACGCTTTCATTTGATCATAAATACAAGTGGGAGTAATGTTATATTTTCTAGCACAAATGAGCTTAAAGGGACATTTTCTCGAGCTATCTTCTTTGTCAGTCCTTCTTCCTTCTCAGAAACACCATTAGAATGGAGCTTTCTACCAACCAATCAGCAAACAACTCGACTTTGTTTAATGTAGGTTGTAGTCGTGGATGTTTGCTAACAGCCTAGTAAATGAATGCAAAATTGTTTATTAACTTTAAATAGTATACTAATATATAATTAAACTCAATATACCCAGTACGGAACTACAAAGGAAAGACATGCCTCCTAGATAAATTAAAGCAAAGGTCGATATAACTACAAAGGAAAAACATGTCTCCTAGATAAATTAAAGAAAAGGTTAACATTGTATGACCTTGTCATGAAGTGATTAGTATGTCTTGCAAACTCAACATATACTTTGACAAACTTATCCCATATCTAAATATGTAAAGTCATAAAATGACAAACATTAACAAATCTAAATATCATTGTAATGAACTTTATAAGTAAGTTGATAGTTTACCTTGAAAATATTCTGTGGATACTATACTTGTAATCATTCTCTTGTGAGTGTGTGTGTGTGTGTGTATATATATATATATATATATATATATATATATATATATATATATATATGGGTAAAGTGAATATACCTAACAACCTTATATAAGCTTAGGTACCTAACTTCATAATACTACATCGGTTTGTATCATATTTACAATGTAATTGCCTTTGGTTCTTAAATTTCAACCCCATAATGTGATTACTTCCAAAATCTTTTGACTTTCACCAATATCTTTCGTTTACATCACGTCTTTCTATCGAATACCACCTGATGGGCTTCATATCCTAGCGCTACAAATGAAAGGATGTAGGAGAAATATAATGATGAATTTCCAAATTTTTTTGAAATAAATCAAGTTTAGGGATGAAGTTTAAGAACCTTGGATGATTGCAATGAAAATTTAATGCAAAATAATGTAGTTTGATGATGTTAGGTACATAAGCTTATATAAAGTTGTTAAGTATATTCACTTTACCCTATATATATATATATATATATATATATATATATATATATATATATATATATATATATATCTCGTAGAATCTTTGAGACCTTTAGTTTTACCTTTGCGGCCCATAGGGTTTGTTTAGTGAACCTTATGATCATTTTGATTTACCTTTTAGTGAATAACTTTTACTTTATTTGGTTTATAAGCGTGGGTATTTTTAACTATTTTACCCTTTTTAATGTTGTGTATTTACTTAAACACAAAGCAATTAATCTCTATTGGTCCAGTATCTTATCTTAAATAAATAATTATTGTTTGATCGGAGTAAAAAAATTATAAACAGTTTTTAAAATTGTTTATTAAATTGTGAATTGCTTATTTTTGTAAAACGGAGAAAATAAATAAATAAATAAAAATAGTTAAATACAAATGTGACCTACAGCTTATTACGAAAGCCCGGTAAAGGCCCAAGTCCAGTTATCATAGTGCCCAGTTTTGTAAGTTATCTCTAGGCTGTAGAGATGACCATCGATATAAATTGTGAATACAATCGTTCTCGTGTCATGAGAGAATTAAAAACACACAAAGTACGAAAAATTTATTGTTCCTTTATTCAAACAATATGCATAAAATGGTGTAGTTGAGCCAATTTAACGTGAACATTTCATATGATAATGATAGAAACTACTTTTTGTTGCAATTCTTTACTATGTTGTTTAGCAGTGTTACTATGGTTATACTAATATTATTTGTGTATTTCTCTATATAAAATAATTTATCAACAAGTCAAAATAATTGGGAAATAATATCATAATCATAACAACCAGATTTTGTTTGAACGCTTTATTAAAACAAAAAAGACCAACAGGAACTGGCCCATACAACCTGAGAAAGTAAAAGTACAAGATGCAACGTTTATGTTGGATTATTTACTGCCATATTGTAAAGAGTAAAGTAACCATACGATTTCTAGAAATAAATCGTTTAAAGTGAAATTATCGTATTCAGGTAACTTAAATTGTATCAGTAGGTATGATATGATAGGGCTATGGAATATTTTCGTAGTTGTCGAGTGTTTGAAAAATTGTAGGTTTTGTTTGGGATTTTATCGTAGGCTTCTTAACGAACTCTTATATTAATGCGCTTTTCATGTAACACAGAGTTCTTAGATAACTTGATGGTGGAAGTGTTGTCACTTTTATGACAATGCTCTTATTGATCTCCAAACCCAGTTCTTCAAGTACTCTTCTAACCTAAATTGCTTGATAGGCACATGTTGCATCTGTAACATATTATGCTTTAGTGGAAGATAAAGTAACAATATATTGCTTATTTAATGATCAACCCACAACTCCATTGTCCCATAGGAACACATAATCAGATGTATCTTATATCGATATATCCTGCAAAATCGTTGTCCTTGAACTCTTTCATTGATCCTTATCCTGTTACTTTTATACCAAATCTCAAAGTCAAGTGTGCCAATTACATACCTCAACACCCTCTTTGTTGCTACATAATGTACTTCAGTGGGTTTAGCCATGAATCTACTTATTAAGTTCACCAAAAATTGTATATTCGACTTAGTAGTGGTGATGTACACAAGACTTCCTATGATTTGCTTAAAAAGAGTCTCGTCAATTCTTTCTCCTTCATCAGATTTCAACTTGCGCCCTAGAACTAATGGGTTAATCGCAACATTGAAATCCACCATCTTGAACCTTTTAACTATCTCAATAGCATGTTGGGAAATATGTATGTCATGAGTGGGTTGTAATACTTCAATACCGAGAAAAACCTCATCTTACGTACATCAGAATGTTATTGGTATAATTTTTTCATGAAACAAGTCTCTCTCTCAATAAACCGTATAAACAGAGTACAAATACAGAATAGGCTATATTGAAAATACAACGGGCTTAATATGTTGAATACAATACATATATAGAAATACAACTATACGCTAACATCCCCATGCAGTTTGAATGGGGTCATGAGACCAAATGTTCAAACTGGATCTAAAGTCAAGGAACAAAGGAGTCAAAAGACATTTTGTGAATATATCAGCATACTGAGAGGATGAAGGAACATGAAGAACCTAGATTTGACACGTAGCCACGTGTTCACAAACAAAATGAATATCAATCTAAATGTGTTTGGTGCGATGATGTTGAACTAGATTGTCTGTCATATAAACCGCACTAACATTGTTGCAATAAAAAGTTGTGGCTTTGTCTGGAGGCCAATGCAATCCAAGACGTCTCGGCTACCGCATTCGCAACACCACGGTACTCAACTTCAGTAAAAGACTTGGAGACGTTGGCCTGTCTATTGGATATCAATCTCAATATGCTCAGCTCATGAAGAAGATCACGAACAAAATGAATATCAATCTCAATGTGTTTGGTGTGATGATTTTGAACTGGATTGCCTGTCATATAAACCGCACTAACATTGTTGCAATAAAAAGTTTTGGCTTTGTCTGGAGGCCGATGCAACTCATGAAGAAGATTACGAATCCAAGACGTCTCGGCTACTGCATTCGCAACACCACGGTACTCAACTTCAGTAAAAGACTGGGAGGCGTTGGTCTGTCTCTTGGATGGCCAAGAGATAAGGTTAGAGATGAGGAAGATACAAAAAATAGATGTAGAGCATCTAGTGGTAGGACATTCGTATCAGAATAAGTAATCAACCCTTGAGAAAGGGTTGTAACGCCCGTAGATCCGGGCTAGTCAATTTAGAGGTAATAGGGGTCGAAAATGACTTTTCTACAAAAGATTATTTAGAATAAATAATCTTAACCAAGTTGTATAATATATCACAAGGTTTCCGTACATATAAAAAGCGTCAAAATCCGAGTTATAACGAAGAAGTTATGACCCGTCAAAGTTTCACGACGGAACCATCATGACACCGGGAAGCGTAAATAGTGATTTTATGATGGAGAACTTTTTAACCTTAGTGATCTAAAGGAATGTCGTAGAATATGTTAAACCGAGAAAATCCATAAAAAGAACGCCCAAATCTGACTTCGTATGAATAAGTTATGATTTTTCTAAGATTCGGCTTAGCAGTGCACGACCCGAAACTCGAGTTTTAGTTTGAGCGGTTTTTGGCTTACGTGAATTAAATGAGAGTTGAAGACTCATTAATAGTAACTTAACAGTAAAAAGACATACAAAAACAGAGTCTGTATGAAGGAGTTACGAATTCTTCGCGATCATTTAATAGTCTAAACGCCTCGTACTGTTAAATTTAATATCGGTGGAGAATTAGCCGACAGAGTCAAA